GGTCAGGGAGGTCTTTAGTAAGTGGTGTATTTTTCCAGTGTTTACAAAATCCCAGGCATAGAAGCTTTCAAAAGCAAAGACAAATACACATCAAATCAAAAAAAAAAATAACACTGTATTTATGTTGCTATAAATAAAATGTGTACCTCTAATCCAGTCTATAAAAAACAAGGAAAGCAGCTGACTGTATACTAAGGGGCAGTGGGCTTAGGACCTCAGAAGTAGGGGGTGAGGCAGGGCATGGAGGTTTTTATAAGTCCATTTAATCAAGTGATTCAATGGAATAAGCAATCATACTTTCTGTAAATGAATTAATGTTTCACATATGTATAACTATTTTTTTAAAGTGTAAAACTGGCTGCTCAGGACCAAGTTCTTAGATCATATGCAATATGCTTCCTACCAGATACCAATGTGCACAGAGACTTGATGGACCTGCTTCCAGAAATGTGGGGTGGAGGTGACCTCTTCCTAAGTCAGAGGATGTTCAAATTTTCAGTGACTGCTGCATGGTGATGAAAAGCCTTCATTGCTTGCTCAGTGGGAACTGAATGCAAACAAAAAACTCACATAGGAGAATGTTCTCTTTCTTGGTGGCTTTCAAGTGAGGAAGAAAAAGAACTCTGGTAAACCTCTGAGTAGGGAGAAATCAGCCAACTGGCAATTTCCCGAATACAATCACTCTCCTTTCCTTGTTTAACTCTGGGCTCACCTTCTTATCTATTTATACTGTGTCTCAAATATGCATATTGAAGGACAAGCTCTATAGGTTGTCTATTCAAATACAAGTCAAAATTTGGTCAATAGATATTTCATCCACTTGGTTTTTCTTATGTGGAAGTTTAGGACTAACTCTTCTGGGAGACTATATAGATCTTTTCCAGGAGACTCTGAAATGTCTTAGGTCTTAATACAATCAGCTTCATGTCATCTGCAAATGGGAGCATCTGCAAGACGTCAGTATTGACAGAGAATTGCTCTTCATTTTGAACTCTGCATTGGGTCGAAATTTCCATCACACCTCTGTTGAATATGTATGTCCATTTTATGCCTCACTAGATGTTTATCATCAGAAGGTTTACTCTATTGTTATATCTTTTAGGAAATCTTGAATGATTTTTATATATAGATAGGAGACATTCATATATCAGCATGTAGATAAATTCTATTAAATAAATTTAAAAATCAATTGAATAACATTACTGAATTTATAATAAATTTTTGCTGTCATACATTTTGTCTATCAGTGGATATGGATAGTAGAACCACTATTATAGGGAGGGTAATGAAACTTAATGCTAAAAAATGTTTCTCACTCAAAAAAGTTGAGAACCACTATTGTGGAAAATTAAAGGCAATTAAAAATTAGTATTTTATTTCCCCCATTACTTGTAAAAACAATTTTTAATATTCATTTTTAAAACTTTGAATTCCAAATTTTCTCCTTTCCTCTGCCCTCATCCTCCCCCCCCACTGAGAAGGCAAGCAATTCAATATAGGTTGTGCATGTGTAGTCATGCAAAAAACTCACGTAACAGTTATATTGTGAAAGAAAACAGACAAAAAAACCCTCAAGGAAAATAAAGTAAAAAAAAAGTGTATTCAATCTGCATTCAGACATTAACAATTCTTTCTCTGGAAATGGATAGCATTTTTCATCATAAGCCCTTCAGAGCTGTCTTGGATTGTTGTTTTGCTGAGAATAACTAAGTCATTCACAACTGATCGTCCTACTATTTTGCTGTTACTTTGTACATATTACGTTCCACTTTGCATCAGCTCATATATATCTTTCCAGGATTCTCTGAAAGCATCCTTTTTCATCATTTCCTATAGCATAATAGTATTCCATCATAATCACATACCACAGAGTTCAGCCATTCCCCAATTGATGGACATCCCCTCAATTTCTAATTCTTTGCCCCCATAAAAGAGGTGCTATAAATATTTTTATACATATAGGTCACTTTCCTTTTTTTTTAAATCTCTTTTGGGATACAGACTTAGTAGTGGTAGTACTGGGTCAAAAGGTATGCATAATTTTATAGCTGTTTAGGCATAGTTGCAAATTGCTCTACAGAATGGTTGAATCGGTTCACAGCTCCAACCAGCAGTGCATTAATGTCTCATTTTCCCCTCATCCCCTCCAACATTAGTCATTTATCTTTGCTGTCCTATTAGCCAATTTAATAGGTATGAGGTAGTACCTCATTGTACTTATTTTACATTGTAATTGTTTTGATTTGCATTTCTCTAATCAATAGTGAGTTTAATTCATCTGAAAATTCATCATATCTTTTGATCATTTATCAACTGGGGAATGGCTCTTATTTTTATAAATTCAACTCAGTTCTTTATGTGTTTGAGAAATGATGACTTTTTAAGAGAAACTTGCTTCAATTTTTTTTCACAGTTATTCTCTCCACCCTATTTCCTCCTCTGTTTATTCTATTCTCTCTCTCTTTTCATTCTGTCCCTCCTCAAAAATGTTTTGCTTCTGACTACCCGTTCCTCCAATCTGCCCTCCCTTCTTTCCCCACCCTCCCTTCTCTTATCCCTTCCCCCTACTTTCCTATAGGGTAAGATAGATTTCTATACCCACTTAAGTGTGTATGTTATTCCTCCTCTGAGCCAATTCTGGTGAGAATAAGGTTCACTCACTCCCCCTTACCTTCTTCCTCTTCCCTTTCACAACAAAAGTTTTTTCTTGCCTCTTTATTTATTTAATTATTATTATTATTATTATTATTATTATTTTTTTGCTTTTTCTTGAGGCATTTGGGGTTAAGTGACATGCTCAGGATCACACAGCTAGTAAGTGTCAATTGTTTGGTCTGAGGCCAGATTTGAACTCAGGTCCACCTGACTTCAGGGCTGATGTTCTATCTACTGCACCATATAACTGCCCTAAATGATACAGTCCTCATTCTTTTTTTTGGGGGGGGTTAGGTGATGGGGTTAAGTGACTTGCCCAGGGTCACACAGCTAGTAAGTGTTATGTGTCTGAGGCCAGATTTGAACTAGGGTCATCCTGAATCCAGGGCCAATGCTCTATCCACTATGCCACCCAGCTGCCCCTCTTGCCTCTTTTATGTCAGGTAATTTACTCTATTCTACCTCTCCTTTTCTCTTTCTCCCAGTACATTCCTCTCTCATCCCCTAAATTTATTTTTTAGATATCATCCCTCAATATTCAATTCGCAGCTATGCCCTTTCTCTATATATACTCCTAGCTATCCTAACAATGAAAAAGGTCTTATGAGTTACAAACATCATCTTCCCACATAGGAATTTAAACAGTTTAACTTTAATAAATCCCTTACAATTTCTCTTTCTTGTTTACTTTTTTATCCTTCTCTTGAGTCTTGCATTTGAAAGTCAAATTTTCTATTTGGCTCTCGTCTTTTCTCAAGAATACTTGAAATTCCTCTATCTCATTGAATATCCATTTTTTTCCCCTGAAGGATTATACTCAGTTTTTCTGGGAAAGTGATTCTTGATTGTAATCCTAGTTCCTTTGCCTTCTGGAATATCATATTCCAAGCCCTGTGATCCTTTAATGTAGAAGCTACTAAATCTTGTGTTATACTGATTGTGACTCCATGATATTTGAATTGCTTTTTTATGGCTGCTTGCAATATTTTCTTCACCTAGGAACTCTGGAATTCAGCTATAATATTTTTGGGAGTCATTAGTGGATTCTTTCCATTTTTATTTTACCCTCTGGTTCTAGAATATCAAGGTAGTTTTCCTAGATAATTTCTTGAAAGATAATGTCTAGGCTCTTTTTTTTTTATCATGGCTTTCAGGTAGTCCAATAATATTTAAATTATTTCTCCTAGATCTATTTTCCAGCTCAGTTGTTTTTCAAATGAGTTATTTCATGTTGTCTTCTATTTTTTCATTCTTTTGGTTTTCTTCTATGATTTTTTGATTTCTCATTGAGTTACTAGCTTCCATTTGCTCCATTATACTTTTTAAGGAATTATTTTCTTCAGTGAACTTTTGGACCTCCTTTTCCATTTGACCAATTCTGCTTTTTAAGACATTCTTCTCCTCATTGGCTTTTTGTACTTCTTTTACCATTTGGTCTAATTGTTTTTTTTTTTAAAGGTGTTATTTTCTTCAGTATTTTTTTGTGTCTCCTTTACCAAGCTCTTGACTAATTTTTCATGATTTTCTTGCACCACTTTCATTTCTCTTCCCATTTTTTCCTCTACTTCTCTTACTTGATTTTCAAAATCCTTTTTGAGCTTTTTCATGGTCTGAGACCAATTCACACTTTTCTTAGAGGCTTTGGATGTAGGAGCTTTGACTTTGTTGTCTTCTTATAAGTGTGTGTTTTGATCTTCCTTGTCACATAGTAACTTTCTATATTCAGAGTATTTTTCTGTTGTTTGCTCATTTCCCCAGTCTATTGCTTGACTTTTTAATTCTTTGTTAAGGTAGGGCTCTGCTTCCAGGGTGGAGGGCTCATTGTTCCAAGGTGCAGGGGTTTTGTGCAGCTGTTTTCTGAGATAATTCTAGGGACCTGTAAGTTTTCAATTCTTCCAAGGTGGTATGATCTAAGGAGAGGTGTTCACTCCTCTTCTGGCCTGTGCTCTGGTCTGTGAACAACCACAAACACTCTTTTCTGTCCTGGAACTGTGAGGAGTGCCCCCCCTCAATTGTGGCCGCAAGCTGTGCTGTGCTATTACTACTCCTCCCCCTGGGACTGCCACCTAGGACTGTGACCCAGGTCCAAGCATGGGCAAAGGAACAAGCCGCTGCCCCCGTGCTAGCAAAGAGACCCCCATAACCTCCTTCTGACCAGGTGTTGGACCACTTTACCATTTGCGGGCAGAGAGCTCTGGAAGCAGCTGCCGCTGCTGCCATTGTCACTGCTGATTCAGTCACTCCCAAGGCCTGCTCCTAATTTGCTGGGGCTGGGGCTGGGGCTGTACTGGGGTCATAGCTGTGCTGGCACAGTCTGCAACTGACTGTGCTTTACTCCTCCCCAGGTGTGACAGACCTTTCCTCCTGGCCTTTTAAGTCGTCATTGGTGTCTGTGTGCTGGGAAGTCTGGAAACTGCCACTGCTGTTAGTGATTCGTCACCTGGAAGTCTGCTCCTAATTTGTTGAGGCAAGGTATGTGCTGGCATGGCCTGAGTTGACCTCTTCTCTCACCCTGGTGCAACAGACTTTGCTGCTGACCTTCCAAGTTGTCTTGGACCGGAAACTTGTTTCACTTTTGTCTTTTTGTGGGTTTTGCTGCTCTAGAATTTGTTTAGTCATTTTTTTTTTTGCTTTTAGACAATTGGGGTTAAGTGACTTGCCCAGGGTCACACAGCTAGTAAGTGTCAAGTGTTTGGTCTGAGGCCGGATTTGAACTCAGGTCCTCATGACTTCAGGGCCGGTGCTCTATCCACTGTGCCACCTAGCTGCCCCCTTGTTTAGTCATTTTTAGAAGGTGTTTGGAGGGGTATGAGAGAGAGTCCAGGTGAGTCCCTGTCTTTACTCTGCCATCTTGGCTCTGCCCCCTCAATAAAGCCAAATTTTGAAGACAAAGTTCATCATTCAATCTATGATTACAAAAAATATATACTTTTTTGCATAAGAAAAAGAAATATGTTTAAGGTAAAAAACAAAGAAGCAAAAATATTTGTAATAAATATTTCAATAAAGGTCTACCATCTAGAATCTCTAAGGAATTAACACAGATTTATTTACATAATAAACATTCTCCAGTGGAACAAGACTTTAGGGACATGAATAGTTTTTGAAGTAGTCTAAACAGGCAGTTAATAATCATATGAAAAGATACAAAACTCTCTATTGGAGAAATGCAAACCAAGATAATGTTAGTATGATATCACTTTGTACTTACTAAGTTGGCAAAAACAGCAAAAGTTATGAAAATTCAGTGCTGGGAAGACTGGGTAAGCAGGTACCCGAACTCTAATTCATTCTTGCTTGGACTGTGGACCAGTGGTTGCAAACTTTTCAAAGAGCACAGTGGCAACATGGCAAATGAGTCATGTAATTGATCATACTCTTTGGCCTTGATTCCTTTACTTAATCTTCATCATTAAAGTATAATTTAAAAAGGAACATCATATTTTTATTCATTTATTTTGAAGTTGCAAACAATTGGAAATAATCTTTATGTCAATTACAGGATGCCTGAATAAATTATCTGATGCTAATGTAATGTTATAGTTCTGTAAAAAATGTTTAATATAAAAGATACAAGAAACATGGGAAGACCTCTATGAAGTGATGTAAAATGTGTAAGTAGAACCTGAACAATATGCCCATTGATTACACAATTATATTAATAAAAAGCAAAGCTAAAGACAGTAGAAATTCAAATAGACACAGAAGGGAACATTGAGCTTTTGGCAATGGTAAAAGCGTTGAATCTAAAGTCAGTGGAATTGATTTTGAGGTCTGGCTCTGTCATTTATTATCTGTGCAAATGACAAGGTCAGACAGGATGACCTTTGATGTCTCTTCTATCTAAAGTTTTGAACCTACGATTTTGGATCTGCTTAACAATTCAGCATACTATGGATGGATATTGCCCATCCAATCTTTCACCCTAGCCACCATCTACCCTGCGACTGTAGCCTCTAGAACACTGGACATCTAGAAACTTTGCCAGAGGGGATGTAACCCATATTATTCTGGAACTTCAACTCTGGGAAACTCAAGCTTCCTGATTGGTCAATGAGTGGGTACAAACACACATAGCCAACTATGTGTAGATGGCCCCAGACCATGCTTCACATACTATGTGGTCATATGTCCACACTATCTTTTTGATGTTGTCCACCCTGCCATGAACATACCCTCTCCCCATCTTCCTTCACCTCTTGCTCTGGGGATGATAATGATATCAATATTGATATGGCCTTAGGAAGGGGCATGTCAGTCAACTCCCTTATGGCTTCAATCACTAGCCCTGTGACCTTCCCCAGCTACTTCTCTGTATGTATCCCCGCCCCCCTGCATTTGAATGTAAGCTCCTTGAAAACAAAAATTGTCTCACGTTTGTACTTGTAACCCCAGCCATAGCCCAGTAGTAGACACATAGTAAACACTTAATAAATACTTTTCATTCATTCATTAGTATATTAAGAATTTTATGGATGATTTTAATCCTTGCTTTTCTTCACGTTTATATATTTTAGATTGCCTCCTACTAACATTGAAAATTAGTACATTGTTTATAAAAGCCTAAAACTAGTTTATCTCAGGCACTAGACAATGTGATACATTACAAAGTCATTATTTTTAAGAGCCAGTAGGCTCTTGAAAAAAAAAATTGAATGTATATAAAGATGTGCCCATTTGGCTAATGATGCATATACTGGTAGGACCAGGATTGGCACCTGGAGCATTAAAATCATATACACTCCCTGTGGGGGCAGATCAGAAGTCCAGAGTCTATTGCTTCAATTAGGCCATTTGCATAGGTCTCAGCCCACCAGATTCTTTTTTACTCTCCCACAGCTGCAGACTTTGGTTTTGAGAAACTGCTTCAGTCATGCTGACCTGCTGACTGACTATTGTAAAAGCTTCTGTAACCATCCCCCATCACTGAGGAGCTCCAGTCCTCATGTCAGCATTCTGGACCTCCTGACTGTCAGCCCCCTGTGATCTTGTGCTCAGGCAACTGCCTGGGAGAAGATACAGAAAGTCTCAGGATGTGTTGTCAAGGGCATAACTGATGATTACCTTGTGACACATTGTCATTACTGGTATATATTTTCCCTCAAAACCTAGGCCTTCCAGGGTAGCCCACTACACACGACTCTCCCCAGGCATAGGGGAAAGGCCTGACAAACTTTAAATCCCCATAATATAATGGAAGCTATTATTAATCTCCATACCCATAAACCTGAGAGAGACAGAGATAGAGGTGGAGAATAGAGGTAAGGATAGAGGAAGACAAACAACAGAGAGAGACAGCAGTGAAGACAAGCCCTTCCTGGAGAGGATCTGATGAGCATATGGAGAAGGGAGGAGAAAAGGAGAGGAAAGGGAAGGAAGAGAAAAGAGGGGCGGGAATGGGAAGGAATATTTATGAAATATCTACTATGTCCCAGGCACTGTATTAAGTGCCTTACAAATGTTATCTTATTTGATCCTCACAACAACCCTCTGAGGTGGGTGCTATTATTGTCTTCCTCCTTTAATTGAGTAAACAGAGGCAGAAAGAAATTAAGTGGCTTGTTTAGGGTCACACAGCTATTAACTGTCTGAGGTTGCATTTGACCTTAGGTCTTCCTGATTCCAGGTCCTGCGCTCTATCCACTTCACTACATCATGAATAGAAGTCATAGCTTACTCTCCTAATCCTTCTCCATCCCTTTCCCCTCTATCTTTTACCCCTTGTTATTACTTATTCTGACTCACAAGAATTACTATTGCAGTGTGAGGATACTTGCTGGAATTTCTTTCCAAGTCCAGATCTGATGCTACTTTCTGCTATCCCTCTCTAAACTCTTCTAATTTTTAGTTTGTACTTCTCTTCTGTATATACCACATACTACTTTGTATTATATTGACTTACGTATTTTATGTTCCTGACTACACTATAAGCCCCTAGATTACAGTAACCAGGTTTCATTCATTCTTGTAGTCCTGTCAGTGCCTAGCACTTAATCAGCCCTCCCTCATTTAAATACAATTCACTTGTTCTGGCATCACCTCTCTGACATCATGGTCCCCTTCGAGAATGAAGGACAAACAGCAATAGCACCTATTACATGCTTTTTGAATAATAACTCACATTTTCATAGTTGTACATTAGGCCATGTAGTGGAAAGAGCGCTGGACCTACGGTCTAGAAGACTTGAGTTAAAATCCAATCTCAGACTCTTATTAATCTTGGTAAACTTCTCTCACCTCCATTTCCTTGTGTATAAAATGGCAGTAATAATTGCAGTTGCCTCTATGTTGTTGTAAAGATTGAATGAGATAATATGTGTGGATTGCTTTCCAAAGCTTAAAGCAATATTTAAACACTAGCTATAATGATAATAATAATAACCACAGTTATTATTATATCCTCCCCAAAATTTTGTGAGGTAAGATGTTGAAGGCATAACTTTCTCTTTTTTAGAGATGAATAAGTGAACCCTCAGGTTGATTCACAGACCCAAGGTCAGAAAGTTTGTGTTAGAGTTGTGGCTTCTATTTCCACCTTCTGACTCCAAATCTTGGCTTCTTTTCAGTCTGCCTTTAAGGAATGAACAAATGATCATAAATTCACTTATAGGATTTAGAGTTGTAAAGAACTTTAAAGATTATCAGGTTTGATCACTTTCATTCCCCCCCCCCAAAAAAAAAGACCCTGAAAGGGTAAGGGACTTGTCTGTAATCCCACAGGTAAAAATATTCAAGGGAGGAAACAAGTATTAAGTGCCTACTATATACTAGGAACTGTGATAGGGATATTTATTATCCATATATATAATATCCCTATATGTATATTATCCACATATATATTATCCCTATATATCTATCTATATCTATCTATCTATATATATATATATTATCCACATATATCACTATATATATAAATATATCCCTATATATTTGTAAATATCTCATTTGATCCTTACAAAAATGCTGTGAGATACATTTTACAGTTGAGGAAATGGACCGAGACTAATTGACTTGTCCAAGGGCTTACAGCTAGTAAGTGTTGGAAGACAGAATTGAACTCAGGTCTTCCTGACTCCAGGACCAGTACTCTATCCACTTTGTCACCTAGCTGCCACATGCAGGAAGTATTGAAAATGGAAAGACTGAATCTGAGAAGAAATTTCAGTAATCTAGGTATACCCTAATGAGAACAGAGGGAAGGAATTTTTAGGGAAGAGTTGATGAAATTTCTACATTGATGGTATACAGAATATGAAAGATAAGATGAGTACAAGACTTTGAATTTGTGTATCTGGGAGAATGATAGTGCCATTGAAAGAAAGAAGAAGGTTGAAAGAAGTAGAATTTTAGGAGAAGAAAAAAGTTTCATCTTGAGCATAGAATAATAGATTAAGATGATCAGGGAAAAAGGAAAAGAACTTACATGTTCTAAAATATTTATAGTAGCTCTCTTTTTGGTGACACAAAGAACTGGAAATTGAGGGGATACTCAGTAATTGGTGAATGGCTAAACAAGTTGTGCTGTATGATTGTGATGGAATACTACTGTGCTTTAAGAAATGATGAGCTGGGGGTGAAGCCAAGATGGTGGAGTAAGAGCAGTGACTTGCTTGAGCTCTCCCCCTAATCCTTCCAAATATCTGTAAAAAATGCCTCTAAATAAATTCTAAAGCAGCATAACCCACAAAAGACAGAGTGAAACAAATTTCCAGCCCAAGACAGCTTGGATGGTTGATCAGAAAGGTATATTACTCCAGGTGGAAAGAGGAGCACAGTTCAGCGTGGGCACACAGGCAAACAGGCTTCAGTGAACCTGGAGCAGGCCTCAGAGGACTGAATCACTGGCAGCTGTGGTGGTTTCCAGACTTCTCAACCCACAAACAGCAAAGACAACTTAGAAGGTTGGGGGAAAAGTTTGTGACTGGGTGAGAGAGAGTCCTAGCCCCAGTCTCTCAATGTGGCCCCAGGGTGGTGGCTGCCTCCGGAGCTTCTGGACAACAGACAGAGGGGGATTGAAGGGATCTCTTTGCCAGGGCTGATGCAGGAATCTCTTGCTTTGCCTGTGCTTGGATCTAGGTCACATTCTTGGTGGTGGTCCTGGGGTGAGGAGGAGTACAGGTTTGGTGGAGCTTGTAGTGGTGGTAGAGAGAAAATCCAAGGCAGAAAAGAGTGCTCGTGGTCACTCATAGACCAGAGCACAGGCTAGGAAAGGATTAAACACCTCACTCACCCCTTATCATACCACCTTGGGAGAACTGAAAATTTACAGGTCCCTAGAAGTATCTTTGAAAACAGCGGCACAAAATCCCCGAAGCTTAGGACAGTACATTCTCCACACTGGAAGTAGATGTCTACCTTAACAAAGAGTTTTAAACTCAAGTAATTGGCTGGGATCATGAGCAAACAAAGGTGCAAAAAAAGTCAGACCATAGAATCTTTCTTTGGTAACAAAGAAGATCAAAACACACAACCAGAAGAAGACAACAAAATCAAAGCTCCTACATCCAAAGCCTCAAAAAAAAAATAAAAATAAAAATAAAAGAATTGGTCTCAGGCCATGGAAAAGCTCAAAAAGGATTTTGAGAAACAAGTAAGAGAAGCAGAGGAAAAACTGGGAAGAAAAATGAGAATGATGCAAGGAAATCATGAAAAACAAGTCAACAGCTTGCTAAAGGAGACCCAAAAAAATACTGAAGAAAATAACACCTTAAAAAATAGCCTAACCCAAATGGCAAAAGAAGTCCAAAAAGCCAATGAGGAGAAGAATGCCTTAAAAAGCAAAATTGGCTAAATGGAAAAGGAAGTCCAAAAGCTGACTGAAGAAAATACTGCCTTAAAAATTAGAATGGAGCAATTGGAAGCTAGTGACTTTATAAGAAATCAAGACACTGAGAAACAAATCCAAAAGAATGAAAAAAATAGAAGAGAATGTCAAATATCTCATTGGAAAAACAACTGACCTGGAAAATAGATCCAGGAGAGACAATCTAAAAATTATTAGACTATCTGAAAGCCATGATCAAAAAAAAAAAGAGCCTAGACACCGTCTTTCAAGAAATTATCAAGGAAAACTGCCCTGATATGTTAGAACCAGAGGACAAAATAGAAATTGAAAGAATCCACTAATCACCTCCTGAAAGAGATCCCCAAAGGAAAACTCCTAGGAATATTGTAGCCAAATTCCAGAGTTCTCAGGTCAAGGAGAAAATATTGCAAGCAGCCAGAAAGAAACAATTCAAATATTGTGGAAATACAATCAGGATAGCACAAGATTTAGCAGCTTCTACATTAAGGGACCAGAGGGCTTGGAATATAATATTCCAGAAGGCAAAGGAGATAGGATTACAACCGAGAATCACCTACCCAGCTAAACTGAGTATAATCCTTCAGGGGGGAAAAAATGGATATTAAATGAAATAGAGGACTTTCAAGCATTATTGATGAAAAGACCAGAGTTAAATAGAAATTTTTTTAAAGATAAGACTCAAGTGGAACATGAAGAGGTAAATAGGAAATAGTAATCATAAGAGACTTATTAAGGTTGAACTGTTTGCATTCCTGCATGGGTAGATGATATTTGTAACTCATGAGACCTTTGTCAGTATTAGGGTAGTTGGAGGGAAAAAAAAATATGTGTGTGTATATATATATATATATATATAAAGATAGATAGATAGATAGAAGGCACAGGGTCAGTTGAAGATGAAGGGGTGATATATGAAGAATAAAATTAAGGGGTGAAAGAATTATACTAGAAGAAGGAGAAAGGGAGAAGTAGTATGGGATAAATTATCTCACATAAAACAGACAAGAAATGGCTTTTACAATGGAGGGGAAATGGGGAAAGGTGAGAAGGAATGAATGAATCTTATTCTTACCAGATTTGGCTTAAGGAGGGAATAACATATGCACTCAATTGTTATTATTATTAAAAACAATAGTTTTTCACAGCATGACTACTATGGAAGTGTTTTGCATACAACTACACATGTATAACCTGTATCGAGTTGCTTGCCTTTTCGATGAGGGTGGGTAAGGAGGGAGGAAAGGAGAAAATTTGGTACCAAAAGTTTCAAAAACACATGTTAAAAAAACCTGTTTTCACATGCAACTGGGAAATAGGAAATACAGGAAATGGGGTATAGAAATCTATCCTGCTATACAGGAAAATAGAAGGGGAAGGGGGTAAGAGAAGGGGGAAGAGAGATAGAAGGGAAGGCAGATAAGGGGAAAGGGTATTCAGAATGCATGCCATCTTAGGGTAGGGGTAGGGGCAAGATGGTGAGAAAATTTGGAACTCAAAATCTTGTGGAAATGAATGTTGAAAACTAAAAATAAATAAATTAAAAAAAGAAATGATGAGCTGGTTAATTTAAAAAAAGACATGAAAAGACTTGCATGAAATAATGAAGAGTGAAATGAGCAGAACCAAGAGAAAATTGTACACAAGAACAGCAATATTTTTTGAAGAACAACTGTGAATGAATAAATTATTTTGAGTGTTATAAATTTTGAGTGTTATAAATACCCCAATCAACTACAAAGGACCAATGAAGGAAAATGCTATCTACCTCCAGAGAAAGAACTAAGAAATAAAAGTATGTGTACACATACATACATACACACAGGCACACACACATACACACATACATCTGTGTTTAATAGTGGCCTTCTCTAGTGTGGGGTGGGGATGGAGGGAGAAAAGAAATAAAAAGTGTACAACAGAGAATGAAAGAAAATGTAGAAGGAAGCATAGAATAGCAGAGTAGCTTTAAAAATGTGTAGTATTTATTACATAGTTTTTTTAAAAAAGCAAACAATGTGAAATGGAGATTCATGGTTTCATACTGAATTCTTTTTTTGTGTTGTGTTGTGTACATGGAAAATTTTTTTTTTTGGTCTTTTTGTATTTAAGTTCAAAATGAATAAAAAAATAGCCATAGGGCCACCTTACTTCCCCTCCCTAATTTCTAGTCTGTTGTAAAATCAGTTCTCTTCTGAAATCTCTTAGCTACACTCAGAGGCCCTTGTGGGTTGAGGTAAGGGGTAGGTGTAGAGGTGGGAGTGGAGAATTACATTACTGATGACCAAAATTCAGTATGTGCTCAAATTGGAGATTTACTATTTGCTTTCAATCTCTCCATTTCCCCCTTTTTCCTCATATAATTTGCCAACCATCTTCCTTCATCCTAGTGTTTGGGGGTACTTCAGTAGATCTTTTAGTGCCTTTTTATTCACCTGCAGGTAGGAGGGCATAATAGCAGAACTATCTCTTCACTGAGTTCATGAGGTGGATAACTGCTGCCAAAATACATTTACCACAATGCAGAAATTATAGAGGTAAGAACAACCTAGGTTTTATTATACTTAAGCATAGGTTCAGATCTCAGACAAAAAAAATAAATCTGAATAAAGATTAGGATTCTAATAAGGCCTCTTACAGACAAAGTCATGTCAGAGTAACAGAGAAATAGTACTTTTACACGTTGAAATCTTGTATATTTCTCTTAGGCCACAGATGTTAAATAAAACACAGATTCATAATCCCACCTTTTCTTCAATGTCATAAAATTTGAACAAACAAAACTCACAATCTCATACATCCCGTAACAAAACAAACCATGTTATATAGACTCTATAGGCAATAAATCAAGTTACAGATTAATCTTCATTTAAAGGGCTTACAAAGAGGCTGATTAAGGAAGAAATGTGCTTGTCACCAAGAGAACCAAGAACACGAGTCAAGGAAATCCCTCCTTTTACAGTTAGCTAAAAAAGCTAACAAATAACTGAAAAAAACCCCACAACTTTGGGGAGCTCAAACTCCCCTTTGACTTTTATTAAAGAAATATCAAATAATCTTCCCTTAATGTTATCATTCTAGGAGTCAGAGTTTTGGTTAGGTAAGGTTAATATTAATAGAAGACAGGATTTCAGTTAACCAAAAGTTGCAGGAGAAGTGTCCCTGACCCCTAAAAAACAAAAACAAAAACACAAAACCTAATAGGGGGGAACAAAAAAATTCCCATAACCTGGAAACAAAAATGTTTCTTTGTCTTACTTCTGAGGTTTCTCCCAGAGAGGCTCAAGCAGCCAGGTGCTAAGGGCCACATCTTCCCAAAGACAAATGACCTTCAGTATCTCCTCACAAGATATATTTAGGATTAAAATTATTTTTGCCATGGTTAAAGTTGATATTTGGGTATTTTTTATGATGCTTCTTTATTTTGGCCTTATTCTTCACTTCTTTCCTTTGTAGTCTCCTATTGAAGCTCAGGGTCCACTTACCTTAAATTGCCCACTTTTTGGATGAAGGACTTTTGAAGTTGGCTGAAACAAATCCTGAAGATAACTTAGCCACCTGTTAACAAGTACAAATGGGTAATGTGCTTCACTTGAATATATTCTCGTCTTCTCCATATGACGCACCTATGGATTGCCAAAAATGACTTAGAAACTATGTACTCTTTAGGCATCATCTGCTTAATTATTTTCTCCTTGGTTGCCAAATCTTCTTTACATGTAGGTGCTTACTCAGAAGATGATGGACCAGTTGAGAAGAGGCTTAGATTATATCCATTAGAGTGTGGGGATCTTGGGTCACTCAAAGCTATGGTTGAACAAAGGTTCAAGATGCTTTCATGTGGACATGGACATTGGAGGATTCTGGAGAGGCTAGCCAGTTGCATCAGGAATTAAACTAGGAAGACCAATAGTGGTCACCTGTTGAAAGGCAGCAGAAAGGAATTTTGGAATGCTATCATTATTGGCTTCCTTTTCTTCCTGAGTAACAATCCACTCAGTATTGAATAGTCTGTGAGCATGTTTATACTCTTCTGTCACTGCCTGGAGGGACAGGGAATGTGATTTCTATTTGTTTTGACAATTACCCAATAGCTAGGCTATAATTATGCAGCATTATTCCTCTTTTCACCTTAAGTGAGATTTTCATCATTTTACATTATATTAATGTTACATTTCAGGATGTTATCTTCAACAAATAAATAGAAGGTATGAAACTAAGTCTCTCTTGAGACTTCCAATTAGAACCCTTTCTATTTAGTATCTTTAAAAAGTTCCACACTGTCAGTTAAAACAAGGGCAAAATTTCTGTGTCTTTATTGAAATTGGGAGCTTGGAGGTAATTGATGCTTTGTAGAGATTGACTGCATTACTGGGTGTCATCAATAAGAGATTATTACCAAAGATTTGGAACTTTTACCTCTCATAATATATTAATGGATATTATATATACACGTGCATATATCTACACATATACACATATGCACACGTATGTGTGTGGGTGTGTTCCAGATCTACGGTTTCATTGATTTGGAGAATTGGTGGTATGGAAAACCCCTTCCCTACACTGATCAATGATTCATCTGTTGGGTGTTTTCCCCTTATACCCTTGTACCTTTCTCTTCCTCTCTACCTTTCTTCCCTTATCTTTTCTTTCTTCTCTTCTCCTCTCCTCCAGTCTCCTATTCAGCACATTTATCTCTACTGACACTTCCTCTGCTCACAGGTTGGGCTTCCACTGCTCTAGGAAAACATTTTAAGCTCATTAGATACTGTAACAAATAAACCAGGGAGCACATTTCCCTCCTGGGCATTTTCTACACTAAGCTCTTCTGCAGCGATGTAGATAAAATAAACCTTTTTATATTGTTTTATTTCTATTGCTTGAAAATGTAACTCTCCAGAAATATACTTTTCTGTAAACACAGGACTACAGACTCAACCACTACTTAAGTGGTTCTTACATCCCAAAGTTTGTGTGGGATATGTGTGCGTGAGAGGGGTAAGAGAAAGGTTGGGAATGATAGATAGACATGAAAGGATAGGGCCTCACTCCTCATTAAAGATCTGTCTGTTTTGCAATATACAGAGGACAAATGGAACTTTTAGAGGCATTTTTTCAGAGGGCCACAAATTGCATAAAATTGTCTTTCAGTTTCTCTGGCCTTCAAAAGTATTCAAACAAAATTATAATGCAAATTATGTTAATAAAATAACAGAACAGTAATCTGATTCTATCTCATTAGTGATTGTGCCTTGGAGGTAACCAGTAATTCTTGAAGACTATATCAACAGAGACGAGTTCTGGCAAGAAAAATGTCAAGTAATGTCCCAGTGACAAATTCCTCTTACTGTGATCAGAGGATCAGCTTACTTAAATGTAGGGATGGATTTCTATTTACTTAGCTAAATTACTCTACCCCCTGGGCCTAGACAAAACCTTTGCCATTTAGTAGGACCTGACAGTTACTTATCCTGCACCATACAGGCCAAGATGAAGTATCTGGATAGATTTTTAGGAAACCAAATGATGGTTTTTGTTTTGTTTTGGTCACAGCAGTTCAGGAAACTTCCTAAGGTGTAGAGTGGCTGTGATTTGCATGGATGAAATCACAAATTTTTGAATTATTGAGATGCAAATTACAGCAATACCTTGTAAATTATAACTTCAGTTTATAAATTATAACTGAATTTCAGTTCAGTTCAGTTTCCTGAACAAATGACTGAATGTCTGTTCTCAGTCTTGCTGATTCTCTCTGACATCTGTACCAACTCAGCAATCAGTTACTGGTCTTAGAGGCTACAAAATCAGGGAATCTAGAGTCCTGCTTCAAATTCTAGGCCCAATTCAATTAGTTGAAATGAAAATCTACTGCTTTTTCTAAGATGGGAACCAGAGACACAATGCCATATCCATGTACACTAAAGATCAGACCAAACAACCAAATTAATAGAGAGAGAAAAAGGGCTTACCTACATACTTTAGATTTTAATATCAATGTAGATGCAATCAAAAATTGTGGAGAGAACTGGGAATGCTTAGTCTAGAGAAGAGAAGGCTCAAGGTGGACATGATAGCTTTTTCAAGTCTTTGAAGGGCTGTCATGTGGAGGAAGTATTAGACTTGGCCCCCCAAAATACAAAGATAGGATCACTGAGTGGAAGTAGCAAAAGGTCTTGATGTCAGCAAAAATGATCCAGTAATCAGAAAGTAAAATGCCTCCTCAGGAGGCATTCATTGGTGCAAAGGATGGATGACAAATTGTTGTCTTTGTCTTAGAGGAGATTCTTTTTTGGGTATGGCTTGGCATAGATGGCCACTGAAATCCCCCTCTGACAAATTCTGTGATTCTATGATTTTTTCTGAGTACCTGATCTGCATCCCTGCCCTTGAGCACAATGTTTTCTGGAGTTTAGATTGTCAGCTGGCATCTGGGATACCTATAGGGAGAAAGGAGAAAGAGAAAGAAAGAAAAAAGCATTTATTATCTGTTTCTTCACTAGGCTGTATGCAAAAATATATAACTACAAAAGCCAGGCAATCTTTGCTTTCAAGGGCCTTATGTTTCAGTAGATAGAAATTATATCCACAGGAGAATAGTGATAAGGGATGAGTGCTTTGGTTTGGGAAGTGATAGGGATGGGGGATAGAGCCACTGGGGAGTAGATTGAATGGTCTTTCCAGAAGCAATGAGAATTTTGATTTGATTGTAGTTTCCAGAGGAAGATGTGGAAATGTTTGGGGAGGATTTAGAAAGGGAGGGCTAAGGTACCAATGATTACAAACTGGAGAGCAGTGAAGTAGGCAGTGAAAGGGACTGTCTATTTGCAACTGGGAAAATATAAAACTGATATTAGTTACAAAATAATACTTGGGTGGGGAGTGGGACTTGTACCACTAAAAATGTTGATGAGTATTAGTGTAGAAATGTCATCATGGTGCCATAGCTCAAAATATATCCTGAGGACAGGGACCATGGGAGTGGTTAATAACCTAAAACCAGAGGAACCCAGCTAGCACTTGTTCAGAGATCCATGGAGACCTCTGACCTCATGACCTTTGGCCATGACATGGCCAAAGTCTGCAGAAATAGAAACTGTTGCATTCAGGAGGAATTTTGGTGCCTGTAGCTTTTCAGATGTAAGGTGGAGATTGAGATCAAAGGGTTCACTAACCAGTTTCCTTATAGTTGTATTATGCCTCTCCAAAGACTGACTATGGTGTGAATAAGCATATCTCTTTGGCTGGGGTGACCTGAATCTTATTTCTGGAGGGTGAGGTTCCTGAAGCTCCTCTTCTTCTTGGGCAGGATAGTCCAAGGAGCTATTTTCCAGCTAGCCATTTGTTCCTAGGAGCTCTTCTGTTCCTTCCCTTCCTTCCCCTTGGCAAAGGATCACCAATAGAAAAGAAACATGCACTTAGGATATCTCCATCTGGGGCAAAGTTATGGAGGTCCTGACTCAGTTATGGATCTTCTAGTATTTAAACCCAGGTCTTCTTACTCCAAACACAGTTCTCTTTGTGCTACACCAGGTTACCTTCAATAAATCTGACAAATAGTTGTTAAATTTCTCTTATGTGTAAAGCATTATTAGGCTTTGGGGTTAAAGTGATGGAAAACAACCAGATTGCTGACCTAATGTAGTTTACAACTGTTGGGAGGAATACAACATGTCCACAATTAAGTATAATAGAAGGAAAGGTGATTTAGGTGAAGGGAGAGACAAAACCAAGTGCTCTAGGAAAATTTGAGGACATAGCATTTTTATTTGGAGAGAGCAGGGAAAACTTCATGAACTATCCTTGAAAAGAGAGGAGGGTTTTAACACACGATGGTGAGGAAGATGTACATTCCAGTTATGGGGGATAATCTACATAAATGCTGTGAGGCAAAATGGGAGGAGTGATATGAAAGGGGCTGGAAAGGCAGGCTGGTACCATTTTGTGGAGGACCTGAAATGCTAAGCTGAGAGAGCTGTGTTATTACATAGAAGTGATGGGGATGAGCTGAAGGTTTTTGGCCAGGAGGGCCAAATCAGTAGGGTTGGGGGAATGGATTGGAGAAAGTAGGGAGACCAGTTAGGAGGTTATCAAAATAGTCAAAGACTTAGCGCTTGATTGCATGAGGTTCAAGAGATAGAAGAGGTAGAAATGACTTGGAAGTTGCTAGCCAAGTTAACTGGGAATGAGGAGAAATTTTGTTCTCAGGTAAATCTGCCTTGTTCTACCTTATGAGTCCTTTGAAAAGGTAGATGTGCAATCTTTCCTCATAATTAAATACCTCTTTGAGGCCACTTGGTGGCTCAGTGGCTGGAACATTGGGCTTGGAGTCAGGAAGCTTTATCTTCATGAGTTCAAATCTGGCCTCAGACACTAACTGTGTAACCCTGGGCAAGTCATTTAACCCTGTTTGCCTCAGTTTCTTCATCTGTAAAATGAGCTGGAAAAGGAAATGGTAAACCACTCCAGTATCTTTGCCAAGAAAAATCCTAATGTGGTCAGAGAGAATTGGACATGACTGAACAACAACAAAATTACATCTTGGATGAAAAGTAGAGGTCATCTACAGTTGACTCTCCACAAAGAGGAGCAGAGGTGGTAGGTAATTTAAACCATAGGTACAGACAGTAAACTTTAATCCGGGCCTCATATTCCTTGTAACTAGGGGCAGGGGAGGGCTGGGAATAGGCTGGTAAAGGAGTTCACAATTCTTAGAAGTTCAGGCAGCCAAGGGTGGAAAACTAAGTGCTGGTATGAATGAATTTATTTTTAAAGTCACTTTTAACTTCTATAGCCCTGAAAAAATTGCAATAGTGCCATCTAGTGTTTCCCTTTGAAAACAATTTAACATTTATGCATTCAGATATTCGTTCATTCAACTGGGGACAATTGCTCTCTCTGTCCCTTTCTGTTAAAGCCAGAAGTTCCAGAATTTAGTGGCAAAGTGTTCATTATTTCGGCTTTCTATTTCTTCTGATATGATGCTCTAAATAATAATAACAATAATAATCATTATTTATTATTACTCCATTTCCTTTTTAAAATTATTTTTTCTTTCCTCTTTCTCCCTGATTTTTTTTTTTGTGTGTCAGTAAGAACAGAATCATAAAGCCAAACACTTTCAGAGTTAGAAATGACCTTATTGGTCTCTTAACAGATCCCCAACTCAAGAAAGAATCCTTTAAAAAATATCACTAATGCAGGATAATCCAGAGTCTTATTGGAACACTCCCAATAATTAGGAGTTTATTATATCTAATGTAGACATTAGTTTTCTAATTATTAGAAAATCTCTCCTTGCATCAATCCATATTATGTCTTCTTGTAATTTCCAACAGAAAATTCCTGTTTCCAAATTACAGTCTTCCAAATGCTTATTGTTTTCAAAATAATATAAATTTACATACTGCTTTAGGGTTAAAAAATGCTTTTCTTATGGGTTTACCTTGTGTGGTATTACAAGAATTCTTATCTCAGTTTTACAGTTGGGGAAACTGAAGCTCAGGAATTTTAAGTGAGTTTGCTACTGCCATATTGCTGGCGTCAGAATTCAGTAAGTATCAAACTCTAACCAGATCTCCTTACTCTATAACCATGACATAATATATGATAAATATTCACTCTAAGTCAAAGGTTCCTAACCTAGGGGTCCATGGACTCCCTAAAAGGTGTGTGTAAATAGATTTCAGGGGGTCTATGAACTCAGTTTATAGAATTTTCACCATTCTGGACACATTCTTCTAAAATATATCTCTTTAAAAATATGATGGAACAGTTTTTCCCTTTAATGATTTATTAACACCTGGAGGGATTTTTTTATATCTTTCTCATTTCCTAAAAATCACCTCACTATGGGAACCCATTTGTAACAAAGAGAAATAGTTCAGTAAAATGAAACAATGGACCAACCTCTTCTGATGGTGCTTGTAATTTACCGCATCTATAGTGCAGGCACATCTATAGGTTGCCCAGTGGATAGTGCACTGGGCCTGGAGTCAGGAAGCCCTGAGCTCAAATATGACCAATGTTGAACCCCAACAAATTACAGAGTCTGTTCTAAGAAAGATACAAACAAAATTAGGATGAGTGAGTCCATGGTTTAATTTCTCTCAAGCTGGTTTGACATGAATTGCATGGGAATTCAGTCCAAAACTGAACCCCCCCAACCCCCACAAGGGGGCCCGTTCAGAAGTGGCTTGATTTGGGATTTGGGGATATAGGGTTTGAGGAGTAGGTGCCCTTTGAAGAGTAGGTGTTCCTAAGGGACACCAATCAACCCTAATTGGTCGACATACTGAGAGGTGGGCTATATAGTGACTTAGGTCACTAAATCTTTGTCAACAGGGGCTGATATCACCCACCATCCAGTCTTGGAATCTGCCTCCACCCAAACCTGAGCACATTAAACCAATTCAGGCCTGGGTTGGAGTTTGACTAGAATAAACTTATTATCAGTAATGTTCTTGTGAAGAATTTTTCAGGAGCAGAAGTGGGGCTGGGAGCTCTGAGTCTCTAAGACATCAATTACCAACAGAAATAATGAGACTAGCTGTTGCCAGTACATGTTACATAAACTTTTTCTTTTTCTTTTTCTTTCTTTCTTTCTTTCTTTCTTTCTTTCTTTCTTTCTTTCTTTCTTTCTTTCCTTCTTTCTTTCTTTCTTTCTTTCTTTCTTTCTTTCTTTCTTTCTTTCTCTCTTTCTCTCTTTCTTTCTTTCTTCCTTCCTTCCTTCCTTCCTTCCTTTCTTCTTTCTTTTCTTTCTTTCTTTCTTTCTTTCTTTCTTTCTTTCTTTCTTTCTTTCTTTCTTTCTTTCTTTCTTTCCTTTCTTCCTTTCTTCCTTTCTTTCTTTCTTCCTTCTTTCCTTCTCCTCCTCCTCCTCCTCCTTCTTCTTTCAAGAGAATGAAACTAAATTCCACCATCAGTCCTCTGAAATAACGATTGACCATTAAATTAATATGAATTTTGATGTCTTTGAGTACTGTTGACCTTTATAATATTCTGGTCATTGTGTATATTTTTCTCCTGCTTCTGTTTCTTTCATCCCATGATGCCTGGAACTTAATATGATATGCCTTATGTGATGTGATCAGCACAGAGTTTATGATGGTGCTATTATCTCTCTTGATTTGGCCCCTCTGTTTCCATTACTGTAGTTGGTATTGTTTTTTTTGTTAACAGCTGTTTCACACTTGGGCTTAAATTAAGCTTGGAAATGGGGGAGAAGTGAGTGATCAAATAAAACATTTAAACCCTTTTTCTTAGGAATTGTCCGGACAGTTTTCATCCATTCTCTCCTTAGGTGCTGATTTTGAAAAATCGAAGTCAAGACCTTACATTTTTCCTGTTAAATTTCATCTTGTTGGATTTTAGCCCATTGTTATAGCTATTTAGATAATTTTGAATCCTGATTCTGTCATTTAATGAATTAGTCCCGTGTATCTCTCCTAGTTTCAAGTTACATGAAAATTTGATAAGCATGCCTTTTAGGTCTTCATTTTGGTTATAGATTAAACATTTTGAAAAAAAATAGAATCAAGGACAAAGCCGTGGGGCACTAAACTGAAGGCAATATGGTACATTGGAAAATAAACTCATTCACCAGTATAGTACAGTGCTCAAAGTATAATATACTTGAACTAAAGTCAGAAGATATAGATTCAAGATCTGGTTATAGCAATTACTAGTTATGTGATTTTGGACAAGTCAATCTGTTGAAACCTCAGTTTTCTTATCTATAAAATAGGGGCCAAAATACTTATACTAGCTGTCTCACATGGTTGTTTTCAGGAAAGCATTTAAAAACCTTAGCATACCATAAAAATGTGAACTTGAGATTACCACCCAAGTTCGCAATGATTTATTAACCAGAAATTCTTTGAAAATTGTTATTATTCAACCAGCTATTCATCCACCTAACTATGCTGACACCCAGTTTGCATTTCTACATTTTGTCCTCTAGCATATTATTAGGGGCAGCTAGGTGGCTCAGCACCAACCCTGGAGTCAGGAGGACCTGAGTTCAAATTCAGCTTCAGACACTTGACCCTTACTAACTGTGTGACCCTGGGCAAATCACTTAACCCCGATTGCTTTTCAAAAAAAAATATGAAATTTGTTGAAATCTAAGTACGCTCTGCTTATGGAGTTTCCTGGCACTATCAGCCTAGGAACCCTATCAAAAATTCTCAAAAAAGATAAAAAAGAAAATGAGATTAATTTGTTAGTGAATGTATTCTGGCTTCTAGTAATCACCTTTTTCTAGCATTTAGAACTGGAACAATCTAATGATTATCTAGCCCAGGTGTTCTTAACCTAGGGTAATAGAATTAGAAGTGCCTATAAAGTAGGATGGGAAAAAATAACAAGTTTTAATATAATTGGTTTCCTTTGTAATGCTGTGTGTTTTATTTTATGCATATAAAAGCATTATTCTTATAATTGGTCCGTAGGTGCAACAATGGGTTAAATTACTGGGTCCAAGGTCATGGAGAATTAATGGCAGAACTACACTAGAAGCCAACTCTCTTGGTTCACACACGAAGATTTAATGTTTGCAAAATCAAGTCCTTGCTTTGCTTAGTCCTTTACTTTGCTGAATTATGTCTTCAAACCCCAAATACTATCAGTATATGCTTATGAAAACTCCCTGGAGTCAGGAATACCTATACTTAAATTTGGCCTTAGACACTTATGGGGCTGTGTGACTCTGGGCAAGTCATTTCACCTTTATTGGCTTCAGTGTCTTCAACTGTAAAATGGGGATAATAATAGCAAATACTTCCGAAACTTAGCACATTGCCCAGTGTATGGTAGGAGCTACATAAATGCTTATTCCCTCCCCCCACCCCCACCCCACCACTATACTCTGAACTACTTTAAAACAACAAGTAAAAACTTTTCAAAATATATTTTTTAAATTGCTTGAAAGGCAAAAAGGGTGTTTATTAACTTAAAAGTTGTTTTATACTCTGCCCTGAGGGTTAAGAAACTTGGACTTAACAATTAAGATCAGCATGGTCAATGTGCCAGGGGGGGAGGAGTACATGCAGAAAATGCTCTCCACTTGGCTGAAGTGAGGACTAAGATGTTACCCAGGCTGAGCACAAGCCTGGTTAAAAAAAAACAACAAAACTAATTACATAACTTCTTTCCCTGCTGACTGTGCAGGGAACTCTTATCAGGGCTGTAGCCAAGCCTATTTTGACCTTCTAATATCACTTCATTTCTATTCCCTGTTTGCCTGTCTGCCCCAGTGGTCCTCCCTAGCGGTCCCTGCTTGGCTGCTTCTTAACTTGCAGTGCTCTGGAAGTCCCTGGACAAATGACAATGGCTTTTTCCAGCAGTTCATACCCAGAAGAATTGACCTTCCCAGAAGGATTTGGCTGGGGAGCATCCACAGCAGCGCATCAAGTAGAAGGTAAGGAGACCTTCCATGAGAGTTTGAGTGCAAAGATGTGGGAGAATGACAAAAGAGAGGGCTGCCTCAAAAGAGAGCCATTTGGGTGGCTTTGATTTTTTTTTGTCTTAGTGTTAAATTTTATTGTTATCTTTTGTCTCTACATCATTTTTCTTTTCAGATATATCCCCTCCTCTATTTAGGGAGCCATACCTATTACAGAATAAAAAAGAAAGAGGGCAAAGGAGGTAGTTCAGCAAAGCTAGTCAATGTAACAACTGTGTCTGATAGTAGAAGCAATCTTCCACACTCATCTCCAAGTGATGCAATGTTCTACACTCAACTCCAAGTGAGAGAAAACACTGCATTTCCCCCCATCTTTACTCAGGGGAAAATTTAATCATTATAATAAAGTTATGCCTTATTCAAAGTTTCCTTTTCCCTTTTCTTTTCTATTTTTGTTGTTCTTTCCAACTACATTGTAGTAGTCATTGTATACATTGTTTTCTTGGTTGTATTTTCTTCACTCTGTGTCAGTTCATAGAAAAATTCCCTATGCTTCCCTAAATTCTTCATATTCATCTTTTCCTATGGTGCAGTAATATTCCATCACTTTCATTTACTGCAACTTGTTTACTCATTCTCTAGCAGATGGGCACCTAGGTTTTTTTTTTTGCTACTATAGTAAGAGCTGATCTAAATATTTTGGTGCACAGGAGACTGTACATTCTGTCTTTGTTCTCCTTGGAGTATATGCCTAGCTGTATGATCTCTGGTTCAAAGGTCATTTTCTTACCATAGAAGCATGTTTTATAATAATAATATAATATATAATAAAATAATATAATAACAATAATATAATATAATAATTAGATAGAATGCCAACCTGGATACCAGGGAAATATGGGTTCAAAGTCCCATCTCTGGCACATACTGACTGTATTAGTTATTTCTCTAATACTCTCAGTTGCACAAAAAGTTGCAGAAAAGGTGCTGACCTGAATTAGTAGAGGGAGCTTCTCCATCCAGGACTTTCCTCTACCAAAGAAAGCACAGGTCTGGTTACTACCACCTACCATTTTTAGCATAATTCCAAATTCTTTTCTGGAATGTTGGGACCAATTTACAGGTCCAATAACAGCAGGTCTTCTTTCCACAGCCTCTCAAACATTGACTATTATTGTGTTTCATCGCCTTTGTGTGGCTTCAACTTTAAAAGATCACTTGTACTTCTCATGAGGATGCAGATACCCTTAATTTTGTCCTGGGATCTTCTAGGGTAGGGAGGAACTAAAAATCATAAAAACAGGAATGACAGTTGACACCATCGTTATTCTACCAGGGAGAAGCATCATGTTATGATCACGAAATAGACAGAATTCATAGAGCTGGTGGCACCTTAGAGATTGCTTACTTAAACCTTCAGCTCCTCTGACTCTGGATATAGGATTATTTCTAGTCCTTGGAACACCTGGCTGTAACATGCAATGGTCTCTAATGATGGGTCATCTAACTTTGTGGAGTCCTAGCATTATTAAGAACAATAATCATCACATTGCCTTTCTTACTAGATTGTTTTGAAGAGCTTTTTAAACTTTAGATTGCTATATAAATTTGTGCTGTGGTGAAAGAATATAATTCAGCACACTGGAGGGTTCAGAGATTAAAGGAGGAATGAATCACTTTGGGTTGTGTGAGGTGCATTGATAAGCAAAGGCTTCCTGGAGCAGCAGGCCCTTGCCCTAGGTGAATCCATTCATAAAATCATAGAATCTCAGAGTTGGAAGTGACCTTAGAGGTTAGCTAGTCCAGTTGGCCCCTCTCGTGAGCAGGAACCTCTCAAAGCAGCCCAGTCAACTCTCAGATTGCTTGAATCATTACGATATGAAGAGAGAATTTCTATCACCAAGCCTAAGTCTACCTCTGAAACTTCCAATTTTCCCCCTCTAGTTTTGCTCTCTGAGGCCACACAGAGCCACACCAACTCCCTTTCTACATAATGGACTTCTAAATGCTTGAAGACAGCTGGAATGTGTCCGCTCTCCACCCCGTGCGATGGGTTAGAATTGGACCTGGAGTTAGGAAGACTTGAATTCAAATTTGACCTGAGACCAGCTGTGTGACCCTGGGCAAGTCACTTTACCTATATTTGCCTCAGTTTCCTTAACTATAAAATGGGAATTATATAATAGCACGTATCTCACAGGATTGTTACAAAGATCAAATGAGACAATATTTTTAAAGTGCTTAGCACAATGTCTGGCATATAGTAGGTACTATATAAGTGCTTATTCCCTTGCCTTTCCCTTGTGCATGGGAGATGTCATGGGAAAAATCATGGAGTCAAGTCAACAAGCATTTATTTAGTACTTGCTCTGTGCCAGGCACCGTACTAAGTGTTGAGGATACACAGATAATAAACAAAATGAAAGACAATCCCTGTCCTCAAGGAGCTTACATTCTAATGGAAGAACACAACGAATAAAAGGGTAAAAGAAAGCTAAAAAGTAAGAGAGGGGAGAATAGAATGAGATCAGGGGACAACGAATAACCCCAGTTTTATTGGACCAAAGAGGAGGTACCAGAGAATAGTGTGAATAAAGCTGGAAAGATGGATTGAAAGTCTCTTTATTCATAGCGCCTTTGCTTCTCTTTCTAACTGCTTTACTATTTATCAATTTTAAGAAGTGCTTAATGTTCTTTATATAAGAGTTGGCTATATAGAGACTTGAGCATTTTGCAGGAAAGGCTTGATATAAATCTGATAAGTAAATAATAAATAAAAGATGTAAGCAGGAGGAAAATTATGTGTTTTAGATGAGTCATAAAGAGCACTGTAAAAACTGTAAAATAATATTTAAGCTAAGAGGCAGGAAGGAAAATATAGATGATAGCTGTATATGATATGAATGACTTAAATGCATTATTTATAAGAAAGCAGCAATTCTCATTATTTTAACCCTTCTAATTTTGACTCTGTTGTCCATTTATGGCCAGATGGAGGGTTAGGCATAGAACAATGTGGCCTTTAATTGATCTCTTTAATAGATTATTCTTCATAGAAGCAATATGCACGACATTAAGACTCAACATTGCAACACTTGTATGCCAATAACTCCCAGTGACTTTGGTGAAAATTGAATAATGAATCACAAATTTCCAGTTGCCTAAAATTATTTTTTAAATTTATTCTTTTGGGGGCAAAAATGTGTGGTCCCTAAGTAGGCAAAACTCTTTATTTTCTATAAAAATAGTAGGAAACAATTCATCAAAAGCTTTACTAAAATCTTGATAAGCTCTATCTACCACAGGCCTCTAATATACGAGTTTAATAACCCTGTCAAAAAAGAAAATAAGGTTAATCCCCCATGAATTGCCCTTGTTTATATCATATGATCCCACTTTATGATTATTTCTTCTTTTTCTAGATGCCTACTAATGTAACTTGTTAGAATACAAGCTCATTTTGAGTAGGATTGTATCATTCTTCATACTTGTATCTTTTGAAGGAGTCCTACCAAATTCCTTCTATTACACAAAGAAGGTCTTGCTGCCCAGAGTCAAAGCTGAGGGAAAATCAAACTATAGATTGTATTTATGCATGTATGTATACATCCTCATCTTACTTTATACCAATGTAAAGATGATGAGTAATAGAGAACGTGATCTTGAAGTTCCTTTTGTAGAACCCTTATGGGTTCTAGAAAACCATCTCATTTAAAAAAAATGTTGCAGGGGACCATTATTTCTACAGAAACAATATTTAGCCACCTAGATGAAACATGGCAGTGGTAAGCAGGGAATCAATGTTGCTAGAATTCAAGGACTTTCAGACTTGTGACTATCAATTGGTCAGTGTTACAATGGGACTTTTTGTGGGAGGGAGGGAGGAGGAACAGTTGTGATTTCATCATTGTAGGGAACTTCAAGTAAGGGACTGCCTTTCCCAATGAAGATCACCATTATCTTTTCTGCAACTGAGAAATTAAGGGATTTGCTTACTATAACACAGCGGATGTTAAATCAGGGGAAGGCCTAGATCTCAGGTCTGCTGAACTCCAAGACCAGCTCTTTATTCACCATGCAATACTACCTCTCCAATGGGCTTTCCCTACATTTCAGTGTCATTTGATTATCAAAGAGTCATGGAACAACAAAATGGAAACAACACTTCAAAATGCATCCTCTATTCAAAACATGAATTTGTCTACAACCTCTCTGACCAGTGATCACCCACCTTCTACTCAAAGGCCCCCCGGGCCAGGACACAAGTAGATGCTCAATAGGTCCCTGTGGACACTTTTACTCTTTCCTTCTTCCCTAATCCATTAACAAGAGCCCAGCTTCAGGAAACAGATCTGTTCCAACTGTAACTGGGATGTTTTAAAGCTTCATTGTTGGAAGGATGATGATAATTTGGGAGTCAATTGACATTTCCTTCCAGCTCATTTAACAGATGAAGAAACTGAAGCAAACAGGATTAAGTGACTTGCCCAGGGTCACTTAGCTAGGAAGTATCTGAGTCCAGGTTTCAACTCAGGAAGATGCATCTTCCTGATTGCAGGCCCACTATTTTATCCACTGTATCACCTAGATCCCCTTAATTTAGAAAGGCCAAGGTCGCCCACTGCATCCTGGGCCATTGCCAGTGGTCTTTGTCTTGCCACCAGAGTTCGAAGGCTGTGGAGGAGAGAGTGAGGCTGATGACTTTGTGCAGCTCTGCCTCACTCAAATCCAATTCACTGGCAAGTCAAGACATCACTCTTGTAATGTCATTGGTCCTCATAGAGAATGAAGGACAAAGAACAACAGGGTCTATCTATTTCTTGTAGACCACCATATTTGCCTTCACTCAGCTTGAGTAATTTGCTTGCTTCTTAAATGCAAAAACTTAATAGTTCTGATTCATTTTAAGGAGGGTTTGAGGTAACAGGTTGTGATTTCTTCAGGTTCATCTCCTCAGCACTTTCCTCTTTCTTAAATCTCTCCTCCTAAGAAAGGTGCTTGTGCAGCAGTAGTTA